GGTGGAACAGGCCCCAGCCGAGATGGACAAACCCGTACTATGACGCTCCCTGGCTCTCTCTGGTAACGCACACCTTTTATTCACTTCCGGAGAAGGAATGAAAGGGCCAGTGACGTGTCTACGGAAAAGCTCCAGAAACGGAACCAGGAGAGGGTAAGAGAGGGAGGCGGCCGAGGCAGGCGCCGCTCTGACTGGCTCGCGACGGCAGCGGGAAGCGCCCGCACTGTCCGGGTCCCAGTCTGCCACCCCGGGTCATGCCACAGCTGTGAACCCCATCACCCCGGGCTTATAACGAAGCTGGTCGCAGTAAAGCCAGTCCAGGCGTGACATGCGGCGTGAGGCACAAACACAGGCAGCAAGGTCACGTCCCACACCTCCTCTGCATCCTCTCAGGAGCCGGGGCCTCGGGAGCGGCCGAGGGTTCCCACCCACCACAGCCCCTGTGCCCTGTGCTTTGCCGCTTGACAAGTGACCGGCTTCCCTGCCCGGCCACTGCCCGGTGATTCTCAGCTGGAAACCCAGTGAGGACAGGGAGAGAACAGTGAGGGCAGGACGGTCTCCGTTTTCCCTGGAGAAACAAGCCCAGCGACCTGTCTGCTCCTGGCTCCCTCCCGCGCAGCCCCGGGCCCAGCGGCTGCGCTTCAGTGTGGAAGGCGCTTCCCGTGTTACAGCGACTTCACGCCGAGGTCTCACCGAGCCCCCTGCCCGAGTGGCTGCCCTCGTGTCCCTGCCCCCCGACATGCCTGGCCGAGAGAGGACGGTGTGGAGGCTGCAGCTGGAATGTCGCAGATGTTTGACGAATCACGTCGGCCAGGGGAGCGTGAACATGGGAACATCAAAATATTAATAACCGAGGGAGGGGGAGCGCAGGACCCGGCCATATCAGCACGTCTGCGGGTTGACACAGAGACCATGGGACCCTGCACAGGGGCTCGGCCGGTGGTTCCCAAACAGGGCGCTCTTGTTCCCCAGGACACTTTGGATCGTCACAGCTGGGGCAGTGACGCTGGCGTGCGGTGGAGAGACCAGGAGCTGCTAACGTCTCCACGCTCCGGCCGGCCCCCACCGAGAGCCGCGCCGTGTCCACTACTGAGGCTGCGAAAGTGGCAAAGGCCCGCCACCTGCTGTCCCCATGTCATCTCCCACACTCCCGTGGGCAGACAAAGCCACACTCATGTGCCTCCATGCCACCCACTTAGTGAGCATCGCCCCTAAAGCCGGGGACTGGCGAGACAGGCTGGCCCCAAGCCAGGAAGTGCGGGGTCAACTCGTCTGGCTGTAATGGGTGGATGACCGCAGCCCACGGGGGAGCCATCCGGTGGTGAGTGACGGCTGTCCACAGAGAAGGCTCTGTCGCTCCGAATTCTATCTGGGTCCTGGAGTGGCCAGAACCTCACCAATAGCTGAACAAAGTTTAGTAGCAAAGTTAATGAAATGTTCAGATGGAGCAAATCGTGGTGAGATGCCTGAACGAGGTAAGACCCACAGGAAGGGAGCTCTGTGTTTGGGGCAGAGCTCAGGGTGCCGCCTCCTGGCTTGTTGCCCATACACGATCCCGCTCGGGGAGAGGCCAGTGAAGACGGGGACAGCTGTGTGTGGCAGTTCCATCGGATGGACGCTGGCAGAGTCCAGGGCACAGCGACAGTCAGTCACAGTCTCTCCTGGTCACACGCCACCATCTCTGCGGTCGCTAGCTGGCTGCTCAGACCAGCTCTGGCTGATGATGGAGGGACCACCCGGGGTGTCGGGGGGAGGGGGAAACAAAGAGAAGAAGGTCACTGGGGCCAGTGAGGGGCCACCCTGTGGTTCTGGTCAAGAGAGTCACCCAGCAGTTACTTTAGCAGCTTCACAATCAAAGCAGAGGCAAAGGCATTGAAAAAAGACAGAGGTTTCATCTAAATGTGAGATGAGGCACTTTTTCAGCCAAAAAACATGAAATTAGATCAAAAAAGCATTTTTGAACTCGTTAGCGTTAGAATTAACAATAAACATAACCCTTGTGAATGTGAACACACTAAATATTGTAAGAGAAATTTTCAAAAAGCAAAACGTAGAGAAAATAGACCCATGATTTATCGGAGATTTTCTTTGTCCCCTGCCCCCTTTCCTGCTTTCTTTGAGTTATGTGAATATAATTTTTAGTATTTCATTAAGTGATTGATTGTCTTAATGCTGTATTTGTTTGTATTATTTTATTTGCAGTTTCTCTAGGCATGACAGAATTCTTACATTTCAGTCTATTAGAGTGAATATTTTACCATCGCAAGTAAACTGTAGAAGGTTTACAGCCATACTGGCCCTATTACCCCACCCTGTGCATGTTACAGTTGTCACATTTATTATATCACACTAGAGACCCAGTGCAGAAATTCGTGCACATTGAAAGGAAATTAATTATAAGAAATATTTTAATATCGCTATTTACCCTTTCTCTA